CCCCCCCACCCCATCTTTGCTGCTACTGATGACTCCGTAGGCTAAAAATGCTTACCTGGACAGAGGTATTAGAAAGCATTTTCAAGAAAGGAATTCTTCCTGTTCTGTGTAGCCCTAGCCTCTAACAGGCTACCCTCTAGGCCCCTTCTGGGCAGGGGGGTCTCCTCGGTAGCTAGGCTGCTCAGGGGGGACAGGAGCACGAGCTCTCAGTTGGTGTTGGCAGGGCAGGGATTATGGCAGCTGTCCAGAGCAGTTTGGCAGTTTATGTCCAAAAGCCTTAAAAATATGCACACTTGCCCTAGCATTTCTTACATTTAAGAACACAGCCAGATGGCTTCAAAACATGTTATTTAACAACATGTTAAAGAAAACATGTTATTTAACAATAATAAAAACTAGAAATAACTGCAATGTCCAACAGAAAGGGATTAGTTAAATAAAAGTATGGTGCATCCATACAGTGGAATACTGCGCAAGAAAAAAAAATCTGGTTGTAGAGGATTCCATAACCTGGGAAAAATATTGACAACAGAACAGTCAAGTGAAAAATACAAGGTTCTAAAAAGCATGGCTATATAGTCTACTCCCCGTTTAAAAAAAGAAAATGGGGTCTGGAGATGTAGTTTCATGTCATGTGTACAGGTTTTATCTGTGGTACTGCTGAAAGCAAACGCCCCTCAAAACCCCAAAACAAACAAAAACTCCCACAAAAGCTTACTAATTTTGTGTATAAAGATTATACAAATACATCAAGATAGTGTTGTTTTATGTTTGCAGTACAGATGATTTTTAAATTTTCTTTTTGTGCTTTTTGGTATTTTGGTGGTGAAGTGGAGACTGGAACTGAACCACATGGATTTGAATCACACAAATATTAGCTGTGTAATTTTGTCTAAGTTGCTAAACTTCTCAGTGCTCAATTTCATCTTTTGTAAAAAGGTAACAATGGTAGGAATCATGGCTTCTGATATTTGTTATAAAGATTATGTGTGTGAGGGCCGGAGATTTAGCTCAGTGGTTCTGCCACCTGCCTTGCAAGCGCAAGGTCCCAAGTTCAATCCCCAGTACCGAACAACAACAATGAAAAGATTATGTGAGTCCATGTGGAAGTTCTTAGAGTAGTACTTGCTCCACAGTACCCAATATAGCTATTATTATTTTCAGATTTTGCTTTGGTGAACGTTTAACACTTTTATACTTAGAAAACCAATATGATAGCTTGTTTTGAACAAAGAAAAGGGGTTAGATACTTATAAGTAGCCCAGAGTAGAAAGAAAAAAGGAAAGGTCACTCTGAAGGCCATCCACTGTCTGCCCTGAGCGTGAATCTTCAGGGCACATTTGGGGTAATCATCTTTGTAATTTACAGACCAGACTCACTTTGATCCCTATTAGGAATCTAAGAGGAAGAAAGAACTAATGGAATCGTCTAGATGAACTGTCAGACATCTCTGAGACCTGGGCAGTTCTCTTGTCTGCTGTTGGCCTGAGGAATGGGACAGTGAGGCAAGGTGCTCATTCAGGGGGCACAGGATGCTAGGGGAGAGCCAGAGAAGAGACACCACCGAACCTGGGCCCCTTTCCCCGCAGGGTTCCGTTTGCCCCACGAGTTGGGTCACTCGGGGCATTGCTAGTGTTTAGGTACATCTGCAGGGCCGTTCTCTGTGATTATCAACACAGGCGCTTCTGTCCTCTCCGAGTGACAGCCACCGTTGTTAATGCCCCGTGTGCCGCCTCTCTGTTCCACGGACATGTGCTATGGACTTGTCATGTAGTCTTTAAGGTCAGCAGGCAGCAGTATCCATTCCATTGGACCAGTGAGGAACTGGTCACCTGGCCTGGGGTAGAGCTCACCAGCTTCCGATTGGATTGTGAGCCCAAAGCCACCTCATGTGGTATTGCGAGGTTTAACACTATTCTGAAATTGGCAGAGACTAGACCTCTGCCTGACCCCTGCTGCTTCTCTCTCTCCTGCCCTTTTATCCTCCCTTGTTGCCCAGGAGGAGCAGCCTGTTTCATTGCATCATTGTGTCATACAGAATCAGGAAATATTTCTTTTTAAGGATATAATTTTTTTTTTTTTTTGGTATCGGGGATTGAACTTGGGACCTTGTGCTTGTGAGGCAGGCGGCGGAACCACTGAGCTAAATCCTTAGCCCAAAGATATACATTT